TGGGGCTCAATTTCAGAACCCTGAGATTATGACCTGAGGCGAAGGCAGATGCTTAACCGACTGAGCCACCCAGGCACCCCCAAAATATGCTGAATTTTAAAAATTCTAAGGATATCCCTTCTGTTGAACCATTCATCCATCCATCAAACCCATTAACCCATTCATATTCCAAGTCAAGAGTTATTATTTTTTTTCTAAAGTTGTAATGATATAGAGTACAGCAAACTTAAAAATTAATCTTGAGTGTGAAAAGTATAAGGTACCGTAGTTGTTCCTGCATTTTTCTCAAAAATAAAATTTGGGTTACTCATATACTTATAGCTGTGGTAAACCATCAAGTAGCACAACAGATTATTTCTTTTTGGTTCATTTTTAGGTAGAAATTTGAATCTTAGTGTTGGCCTGAAATGAGTGTTACTCTCCAATATTTCAAATCTCTGTAAATTATTCTTTGATATGCCTACTACTTGGACCTCAAATATTTTATAATGCATTTGATACATTTCACCATGTTTACCTGAGAAAAACTTCTAAACATTTGAACCACTTATAAGGATGTCTTTGGCTTTTTGGACATCAACTTGGTATAAAACAACAGTTTGTTACAAAAGATGTAAGTGAATTAGAAACAGATGGATTGTATTTGTGTGAATAAATATAATTAAAGGTTTAAAAGCTTGCAGAAATAGGCACTAAAACCAATGTTTCCTAGAACAGTTAGTCTAGGAGCTATGACTAACCTTAATTAGGTCAGGATTCCCTTCCAAGTCCATCTCAAAGTGTTGTGTGGGTTACTTGTATCTGTTTCTCCACACATTCGGCCAGTGTTTGTGACTAACTTGGAACTGTCAGAGTTAGACTACCTAGCACACACATGAAAGGAAGTGTGCTTTAAGCCACTTCACCAGAACTTCGACATACCAACTACGGCAGTTAGTAATCATGTTATCTTTTCTGCTGGAAACGTACACCTGTTGCATCCAGTAATTGCTTGTATTGCATCTCTGGAGTAGGCATTATAGAGTCATGTCCAGGGTTTGCTCAATTAGGAACCAATAAACTGAATTCAAAAGCCGATCTGATGTTTGAGATCCAGAAGAGGGCAGTAGGACACAGAGATTAAATCCCAGTCCACCAGACACTACAGCAATGGCTGCTAACAAGTACTCAGAGTTAGATATAATACTTACCTTCCCTTTGGCATAGCATGAGCAGCATGATGTAGCTAAGAAAAGAAACTAACCCTTCTGCACTCCTACTATGTGTCAAGCACTAACTAGGTATTATTCACTTGTGTTAAGTCATAACAATCTTGAGATGTATGTAACATACTATTATCATTTGTAATAATCAATGCTCAGAGAGCTTAAGCAACTTGCCAGAGGTCACACAGCAAGTAGTAAAACCAAAATTAAAATCCAGATCTGACCCCATAGTCTCTGTTCAACCCTATCAGGATTTGATTGCTGACCCCACTGCTCATAAACTTACTGACCTTGGTCAGGCAAGTAATTAAACTGTTTAGAAGGCCAGTTTCTTCATATTTAAGGTACCTTCATATTTAAGGTAAGACTACCCTCTTAGCTTTTACATGCTAGTGTCTGAATCAACTTTTCCATGATCAGTTGTGTCCAAGTGGGTAGGTTTTGTCCAGTGATAATGTTTTAAATTAGAATAAAAAATTATAGAAAATTAAATCTAGAAGGGAAATTAGCTTATCCAACACTTTCATCTTAGAGATGGTGAAAAGAAGTGACTTGTCTACTATCAGGAAGCTTGATAGTGACAGACATTAACAACTTTTGTCCAGCTTTCTTCTCTCTGTATCATTTGCTAGGGATATAGACACATGGAGATTTTGATGTTGATAATGCTATTGAAGGGGGTGAGGATAACAGTAAATGTGCCTGAAGGAATTATTGAAGTTATTTCATTTTATAAGGAACTTATTTTATTAGGAAGTCCTGCTTCCCTTGCTCTGCTTATGAGGGAGGCCAGTATATGGCTAACACTCTGTATAAGATTTGTCTAAGACTGCGGGTTGATAGGAGGGTGGGAAGGGTCAGGGTATGCACATTTAAGATAGTCTTCAAATGAGAAATGTTAAAATGCAGACTCCAATCAGTGCTAATGTTGGATTTATGTGTTTCAGTCAATCTTACTAGTTGACCCCAAGGACCTGTGTTGGAGAAGCCGGCTACTTGGAAACAGTGGAGACTGATCTAATGTAGCAGTGCCTCCTTTGTGAAATTTTTGGGTTACTAACTGTATTTTATTACATTTCTTCTGACTTCTCCCTTTCTGAGTTTGATATGATCCTTCTAGTCCTCAAAGTACATTCGTAAGGAATCAGGTAAGAGGAAGAGAAAAGGGAGAAAGAAAAAAAGGAAGAACGGGAGGGAGAAATGCTTCAGTCTTCATCACCAAGAGGGGAAGAGGCCCAAGCACCTTGTTTATGTGTTTGAGGAATCCCCCAGGTTTCATTGGCCTGTGGATTTATGGACTGCAGCTAGGAAAGCTGATAGTTATACAGATGTAGAGACCTTCCTATTTAAAGTACATGCAGTCAGAACTACTGGTTTCCCTAATTTACTCAAAGTTGGCTTTTTGTGTTAAAAAATTGTTTGAAAATAGAGGTTTCTAATAGTTTAAATGATCTATCCCATTGCTCACCTTTGGGATGGTTTCCCAGATCTCATTCATGTCTCTTATTTCATCATATCCTTAGGGCTCTTCCTTTCCCTTTCAGTGCTGGAAAAGGAATGTCTCAGGGGTCTGGAGAAAGGCAGCTGAGGGGGTGAATCATGAACACACGTTCTAGGAACTATAGCGCGGCTGTCCTGGAGGCCGACGGAAAGGACAGGTGGAGACCAGTGATGTTATTGCTTCTGAACTCAGCATTTGAACATCTGTATTGTTCTTTGACCATTAGTCCTGTAGTACCTGTTCCAGTTTTCTGTTATCACTGGCCAAAGCTTACACTTTATTTGAGCTTTGTGATTTGATATCTTATCTCCATTATAGGTATGCCCAATCTCTAGAATGGTGTCCTAACTGCAAGGTTAGGATAATACTTGTTGGTCCTTTTGAATGACCCTCTGAATAGGACAAAACTTACGACTTTTGTCCAGTCTAGAGGGAATGATTGGAAAGATGGATTTAGGGAGGTGAAATATAAAGAAATAGGGGGAAAAAAAAAACAACCCATGTTGGGTTGGTAATGTAATCTGGTATCTTTGGCTGCAGAGCTTAGCATATTCACAAATGACAATATTGCCTGTGAAGCGCTGAAATAATTCCTGATACGTTGCCTGCTGAATGGCAGCAAAGTGTGATACAGCACTGCTAATGGTGTATGGGGTGTGAGAGATGATAGGCTCTGGAGGATGGAGCCTGCCCATTCTATGTTGTATGGAGGGCCTCTTGCCTCAGGACACTATTGTTTCAGCATGATAGATGTTTGATGCAAGTTATAATGATTTCGTCTCCCACAGCATTCCTGGAAGACAATTGATAGGTTACACACACACACACTTGTGTGTGTGTGTAATTTTAAAAACCTTTAGTTACCCATGGGGATATTATAATTTCTTATAGAATGACATAGAAAATAAAAGATAATACAGTTTGAGGGTGAAATTATCACAATAAGTATTAAATGGTTGTATTGTCTATGATAATAAATAAGGAGCTGTTGCTCCTTAAAACATGGTCAGTTATATAAAAGGTTAACATGGTCAATAGTGTTTAATACAGGTTAGTGGTGTGTTGAGTTATGAGAAGAACAAAGGTCTGACTTTGCCCTTTGTACAGTAGGTCCAATGATGGATATTCAGAATATCTTGTATCTCATCATTCTGTAACACCACTATCATTTTTATCATAAAAGAATTATGTTACTCCATATATGAAAAATGCATTCTTGAACCACTGTGAATTAGTTTTTAATGTACTGTGACCTTGGATTGCCCTGGGATATTAATGCTAAATGATTACTTCTGAATGCTTTTTGAATAGCTGCATAGTGCAATTAAATGTGCAATACATCATGGATGACATAGCTAAATGCCTCTTCTGGTCAAGGAACCCAAAGAGGTCTTGGGAATGATGGTAATTCTGCATTGCTGAGGATGGGAGAGAAAAGGATCTCTTGTTAGTAGTGAAATAAGTACAGACTGAAGTAGATGATAACCTTTTCCTGGGGTTAGTCAATGGGAAATAAATTTTTGATTAGGAACCATAAAGGAAGATGATTTTTGATCACTGCCAAAGTAGTGTCCTGTTATATCTGCCAACTGTGCAAAGTGAATAATTATCATTAGTCTTTCTGAGTGACAAGTTGCCAAACGGTATGTGTGGGTATGTGTGTACATGCATGTGTGTGTGTGTGTGTGTGTGTGTGTGTGTGTGAATGTAGAGATGTAGATAAAGGAATAGAGAATTTTGTTCATACTCTAGCCCTCTTTCTAGAACGGGCTTCTATTGAATTACCATTTGTCTCAGTGTGGAATCTCATAAATCTTGTACTTAATCAAATCCTTTTTTATCAAATTATTGGGCCTGGGGAAATGATGACAGATGAAACGGTGGTGTGGAAGAGCCAAGATCATTAGAGGGCCTTTTACCTATGGGTCAATGGTTTAAATCCAACCTTGTTGGCCGGTGGCTGAGGGTGGTCACTGTCCTACTGGTTGTGGGCTGGTGGCCAGAGCCCAGTTGTCAGCAGACTCCACAATCTGCAGAAAAGCTGTGAGTCCAGTGGGACCCCCGGTGGGACCTGGGCTCAGCTCTCTAGCGACACTCTTTACCTTTAGGTGACAGGAGCTACAAGCTGCTGCAGAAAGGCCTGGCACTGACGCTGTTGGGTGAGTGATCTGGAACTTCGATCTTCTAGCTATCAACAAAGAGAACTCAGGACTAAGGCAGAACTCACTGAATTTCTCTTTAACTGGTAACATTTTAAAAAGAAAGCATTAATAAGGTTTTTGGTTCTGTTTCAGGAAAATGAGCCGCAGTTGTGCAAGTCAGTCTAACTTCAGAACTCAGCCCTAAGTGTATCACCTTTACCCAGTCTCACCGTGACCTCTTGCGAGACCTGTTTGAGATGCTCAGTCAATACCGAAGTAAGTGCTCCAGTGAGCCCCTTGCAGAGATCCCCTGAGGCTTTATGGCCTCAGTGAGCCCAGAGATGGAAAGGGCTAGAGTTCCCTATTCCCAACCTCCCACTCCTGCCCCTTCAATTGGAGGCCTTGCTTGCTCTTTGGAGAATGTGACCTTGTATTTTAAATGCTAGTGTTTTGGGGTAATAGCACCAGCCTAGAAGTACCAATAACTTTTTTTCTAGAATGATACTGATATAAAATAAATGTAAATATATTAATGCCTACATCTCAACTGATTGATTTCTTGGGTGAGCCTTCCAGGACATTTCTATGAGTATACATGTACAGCTGCTATTCTTGATTTGGCATTCTGTTACTGTTCGTTCAAAGAGATCTGCGTTTTGTAATTATTTATGTATTTATATATTTATGATGTAGGCTGCCAGTTCCATGAGGCAAGGACTTTGTTTTGTTTTTCTTATCTGCCCCTCACCTAGAACAGTGCCTTCTACATAATGGGTAGTCAGTAAACATTTGTGGGATGAATGAATGAATGAATGAATGAACACATTTGTTAGGAACATATTTACAAGTATGAATGGAGAAAGGGGCCTCGAAAGAGGAAAAGAGTAGGAGAATAATTTTATAACTAATCAAGTTGTGAGTTTGGAACTTAATTGCAAAAGCTACAATATGAATGTAAAAAATTCAGAGCTCTTCACTGAGGCAGAGTGGAACAGAAAAGCTTGGGTGCTTCCTTGCTGGCCTTGCAGTTCACCAGTTATGAGCTAATTTCCTCCTTAAATGTCTTTGAGAATCTCTATTTCCTTCATATTTCAGAGCAGCAAACAGGTCCTGTCTCAGTTCAGAGCCTCTCAGTTTCTCACCTGGATTATAGAAAGAGCTTTCTACCTAACTTCCCTGATCCAAGAGCCGCCAGCCCCTCTCACATCCTTCTTGGAGCTGCCAGGGAAATCTTTTCAAAATGCAAGTCTGACCATGCCGCAGCCCAGCTTTCTGACTGGCTATGGGATAAAATCCAGACTTCTTCATGTGGCTTATAAGGCCTTTCTCAATCTTCCCTTCTCTTTGCCCCACCCTCCTGTCTCACTGTCTGTCCAGACAGGGCAGCTCTCTGTAAGCCAAGCCCCACTGCTCTGCACTTCTGCAAGTGGTGGTTCCTACCTCCCTTTGTCTGGTTAACTCTTTTTCTTCCGAGTTCAGATTTCACTTCATCCAGGAAGTAGTTCCTGATAACCACTCCTCCATCCTCCCATGGCCGGGTCCCCTAGATCTCTCTCTTTCATGTGCCATGTGCCCTTTGCTAGCCCAGAGTACCCAGGTAAGTCCACTGGGATTGAGTGGCTCTGGGCTGAGCTTTCACTAGATGTGGAGAAGCTTCGGGGACTCTTTTTCCATCTCTGCGTCTCTGGTGCTCATGCAGCCTGCACAGGGCAGGTGTTCAGTGACGGTGCGCGGAGTGAATGAGTGGCTTACTCACTGCCTTGCAGCACTTTCGCTGGTCCTTGACGACAGACCTTTAAAGTGTGTGGGGACTGAGGGTCAGGTGCAAAGGAGAGAACGAGGGAAGGATAGTTGGTGTGCTCAGCCCAGCTGATTAGTCAGTTGTCAGGCCTCAGTTTTACTCAGCGCTAAATGTAAAGCAAAGTCAAGCGAAACAAAACAAAACCACACACAGTTAAACATTTTTTTCTTGTGATGAGAACTTTCAAATATACAATACAGAATTATTATCTATAGTCATCATGCTGTATATTACATCTCCAGGGCTTATTTATTTTATAACTAGGAAGTCTGTGTCTTTTGGCCACCTTTACCCATTTTGCTGCCTCTCCCCTAACCCTTGCCCCTGGGGCAACCACCAGTATTCTGTTTCCTGTGTCTCAGTTCATTTTTGTTTGTTTGTTTGTTTAAGATTCCACATGTAAGTGTGATCACTTGGCTTTAATGCTTCTGCCTAGAAACACTGTTTCTACCTGTAGCCAAAGTAGTCCTAAGTGGAGATATATTATATTCCGATGGGAAGGAGGGGCAGCAAATATTGTGAGCAACAATGTAGCCTATCACATTCCCCTGTAGTCCTGTAACTCCTGGAGGGCAGGGATGTTGGTGTTTTCTGACTCACAACCCTGGCTCCTGGCCAAAGCACACCACCTGTTTTCTTTGGAATCAAGAGCAGAGGTGGTATGCTCCAGAAATAACAGAAGACTTATTTGGAGTATCACTCTTTATTGACATCAATTATGTTGCAGTTTGTGTGATACTAATTATTTAAAAGCCCCTAGGATTTTCCCCGTCCAATATTTAATGCCTGATATTAGCTTGAATATGTTAATCGGTTGCTTGCAGCAGAACTCTGGTCAACAGAGGTATGTCCCGTTTCCCCAGCTAATCTTGACCAGTTGCTTGAAGCTAGCTCTCCACTTCTTCTGCCATAGCAATCGCTGCGATCTGGCACCAAGTGATGCTCCTGGGGCTGACCTGCACATCTGGCCACCCTGAGCCTTCCCCTCCATGTGTTCCATGCATTCCCACCTTAGTGTCTTTGCTGTGGTCGTTCCTTCTGCCTGCGATGACCCCCTGGACCATCGGCATAAATTCAGTTCCGTCTCAGTCCTCACAGGCTCGGTTAAGTCCTTCTACTCTCACACAGTCTTCCCTATCACTGAGAGGATGTTGTCCATGCTCTCGTGCCACGCCCTTTCCTCTTCTTCCTCTAGCAACTAAATTGTTTTATTCTATCAAGGAAGTTAGGACCCCGAGTTTTGTATAGTTAGAATTTGAACTAAAGTATTGCCACTGAACTACTACTTTTCAAAACTTGGGTGAATTTCTCATCTCCTGAGTCTCAACTACCTCATTTGTAAGTAGGCGGTAATAATAACTATCTCACAGGACATATTTGTTAAGTTATGTAATGTGATTTACCAGCATCCCTGGCATATAGGAAGTGCACAGTAAATGACAGTCATTACCTAATAGAGTTATGTAGTATTGGGTAGGATTTCTTGGTTCTACCCTCTGTCTGTCTCAGTGACATTGCACAGCATAAAATGAAGGTGTTTGTTGAGTGAATTAATGGATAATAGGCTGATGCTAGAAAGATGATCCTGAGGCTCACCTTTCAGTGCGGTTAATGTGGCTAGACCGAGTCTGCTTTTTACCCCTGATACTGAGTTTTTCTAGATTTTTAATGACTTAGGTCCAGTGGTGGCCATCCCGAGTCCAGTGATAGGGCAGGGAAAGATGGAAACTGTTAGAGAAAAACTTGGAAGGTGTCCCCTGGTGGAGGATCAAAGAGAGAGGAACAAAAGATTCTCTTAACACATTTGTAATAAAAAATTACTGTCCGGAGACCCCAGATAAAACCGTTTTATGTATCATTCCCATAGTTTATCTAAAGTATCTTATTTCTTCTTCCTCTCATTATGGCAGACCAAATAAATAACTATTTCAAAAACTGGGTCTAAAATTTGCACTGTAAATCCTTGACATCCTGCAAACATTTATTGAATGGTAAGTGGCAACTACAAAGCAATCATTTTACCTGATCAAGAGAATGCTGTTTGGAAAAGTCACAAGCTATATATTTCAGAAACCTCTTAATAAATTAATGTTTTCAAATAAATGCAATCTCTCTTCTATAAGCCATAAATAATATCACAGTTCATTTTAAAGCACTACATTTATTCAACTCCTCAAAACGTGACTTTTAAATCAAGCTCAATGTTAAAAAAAATCGGCAATATTGTCGAATTGTTGGATTACTGTTCCCTAAAGAGGACAGCTATAGGAACTGCCTAAGTGCCAGCAAAGGAGGAGTCCAGGTCCTGATGAAGCTGGCAGCCTCGATGCCAAGCCAGAGTGGGGGTCAGACCCTTGGTTTGTCCTCAGTACAAAGATAACTTAATCTTGGGATGGACTTTGTAGTGGATCAAATTTGTGTGTGTTTCCTGTTGCCGCTGTAACAGATTATCAGAAACTTTGTGGCTTAATACAGCACAAATATGTTCTCTTGTACTTCTGAAAATGAGTCTTATGGGGCTAATGTCAAGGTGTCAGCCTTTCTGGAGGTCCTTTCTGGAGGCTCCACGGGAGACTCTATGTCTTTCTTCTTCCAATTCTAGAGGCTGCCGACATTCCTTGGCTCCTGACTGCTTCTGTGATCACATGGTCTTCTCCTCTACTGTAGTCAAGACTTCCTCTACCTGCCTATTGTAAAGACATTTGAGATTACATTTAGGGCCTGCCCAGATAATCCAGGATCATCTCCCTATCTCAAAAATTCTTAAATTAACCCCATCTGCAAAGTCCCTTTGCCGTATAATGCAACATTCACAGGTTCTGGGGATTGGGACGCGGGGAACTTGGGATGCCATTATTTAGCCTACCATGCCTTGCCTTTCAAAAGCTTTTCTGTATCTAGACTATCATATTGACTTTTTAAAAACAATGAATAAAGTCCTGGCTTTCCCAGAAAGGAAAAGGCTATAGGTTGCAGAATGGGGGGTAGGTTGGGAAGATTCTGATTTTGCCTAAAGCATGACTCATGCAGTTTGGTTCCCAACAGCACAGTTTGTCCCTGTCATCGTGTGAGTTTGTGTTTGTTTCTATACCCAAATCCAAGTGATGAAAACCCATGGATGTGATTTTGAAGAATGAGAACCATCATAGGACTCACTTCATCTTGCATAAAATAGATGTGTAGGCACTTAGCGGTCTGTTGAGTATTTACGTAATCCTTCCACCATACCGCCTATGGTCACTATGTAATCCTGGGAGCTTAGGGTCACACTGCTAACCTAATAAGTTACCATTCGAAGTGGAATTGATTCTAAATCTGCTTGAAATTAGAAATGGAAAAATTCATCTCCACCTTCTCCAATTATTGTATCTTTCTTTATAACTCTGGGTAAAGAACAGTTTAAACCTTAATTCTGATGGTCCTTAATTTTATGAGTTTCATTAAAACCCCTGAGAGTCATTTAATTTTATGGAGT